TCATCATTTTCAAACTAAGCCTAAACTCTAAAAGTTAAGCAATAAACACTAAGCCCTTACCTAAATACTAAATCCGAAAAATAAAAACTCTAATAATATAAATCCTAAATTTTAAATACCAAACCCTAAATTCTAAAAATATTAAATCATAGAATATAAATATTAAGCTCTAAATTTAAATTTAAAACTAAGGAAAGTAGAGATGGCACGTCCATTTGGTCTCCACCGGATTAGGACCCTTAAACCATTAGGACAATATTAATTGTAACTCTAAATTCAAAATGTGATATTAAATTAGTATAATATATTATTAAATGAATAAATATATATAATATTATGATAACTTATTAAATAAAAAAATTAATTATATAACAACATATTATATTATAAATTTATAATATCACGTCATATTATAACTATGTCATTTTTATAAGCATTAGTCTAGAAAAATATCAAAGATATTTGATTGATGTTCCCATCTTTATCCACAAATGCCCTAAAAAGGGAAGGAATCACACTTGCAAAAAATTGTTCTTTAGATTGTACACTTCAATGATTGGGAATTGGGAATCAAATAATTAAAAGGAATTTCACCTTTATTATTTTTATTATAATTTTACATTTATTTATTTCATAAATAGGGATTTGAATATTTGAACTGAGAATTCTTCAGGTCTAAGTAAGACTTTAACCACACTTCTTTTTTTCCCTTTTTTTTTTTTTTTTTTGAGATCGACGAATATAGTAATTTAGGAGTATTAATAAATTTCACCATTAAATCATAATAATGCATGAAACATTGCTATGCCAAAAAAAAAAATGCATGAAATATTGAAATTCATTTGCTATTCCAAAAACGACAGTGAAAAAAGAATTGAATTCGATTTTTTTTAATGGAATTTAAGAATTTGATTTATTCATAAAAAATTATGAATTTGCTTTCTTTGTTTGGCAAAAAGAAATATAATATTACTTATTTAAATGATCAACACAAAAATGTGACTTAAATCTGGAGGGTTGTCTCCATTTAGCAGGCTACTTCTTCATCTAACAATTTCAGTGTATGAACTATGGAGTACAATAGTTATGTTCTTATCTGTACAAAATCTCAATTTTTTATAGATAAGATATAATCTTTCAGAGCTCGTATGATATTATCTCCTTATTAATTGGAGTTATCACATTTCAAAATTTTCTAATTAAGGATATGATATTTGTTATTTTATTAAAAAAATGAAATAAATATACACAATCAAATCTCTAATTAGAAACTTTTGAAAGATGAGATTGATTAATGAAAAAAATTATATCTTTAGTTAGAAAATTCTTTTAACGTTATATCTTTATTTATAAAAAAAATCTCTTTTGTTTTATTTGACAAAATCTTTCGTTGAATTTCCAAACTTATTTTAGAGTGACGAGTAAACCTTTAAATTTTTATTAAAATAAATAAAATTTTAAATTTAACAATTTAAATAATTTAATTCTCTTTCTTTACCGTTAACTTATTTGTGTTTGTATTTCACTTACGTAAATAAAATATTAACATATCATTACTTATGTGGTGGCGAGTATTTACCTTATCCGTACAAGTAAAACACAAACAAATGTTAAATTTATTGTAAGAAAAATAGTTAAATTATTTAAATTATTAAATTTAAAAACTTATTTACTTTAATAAAAAATAAAAGACTATTGAGGAGCTTTACCTAAAGTTTTGCCTTTTATTTTTTTCCCTAATTGCGCCGAGATTCCTACTCCCCATGGCTGAAACGACCTCGCAACACAAGGATGGTTGGGGTTTCTTAAAAACATACCTGTAATGTATATGTTTAGGGCCTTTTTTTATTGTAAATATATATAAAAAAACATAAAAATTGATATCAATTTTAATATTATTGTTAAATAAGTAAATTTAATTAAATTATTAATAAATTAAAAATTAATTTTTACTTTTTATACGATTTTTTAAAAAAATATAATTTATTATATTTTTAACATTTACTATTCACCACTAAGGGAAATAGTAGAAAAACTCTTTCTTTTTAAGTATTTATCACTATTATTATTCTTTGATATTTAAAAATTATTTAAACTGTCAACGATTTAAATGATTTAGTGATAATTTTTTTTCGTTAAAAATAAAAAATTTTAAATTCAAATTATATGACATATGGATGAGATAAGATAAAAAAAGTAAAAGAATTGCCTTTCGTTGTGTAACCAATATAAAAAAATATATATGTATTAAACTCTTATTAATTTAAAATCAACCCACAAAAAATTCAAAAAAAAAAAAAAAAAACCTTTTCCCACAACTATTTCTCTATTTACCTAATTTTTTTCCCACTCAAACAACATGTACCGATTACCATTTGTTTACCGCGGAGATTCCTATAAATATCCCCTCGACTCAACCTGACCTCTGCAAATATCTTTGTCAAGGTAATCATTAAACTACTCGCCAATTTGCCGACCATCACCAAAAATCTTTCTCGACCGCCGTTGCCACAGTGCACTGCACTCTCGCCGCAACCCAACCCCATGTCCTCCGCCATACTCTCAACCCCGACACTGGACTCTGAATCCCAAGCCTTGCTTCAATCCATTTGTTCCCAAGGTGGCTATGCCTATGCCCGCTTGGCAATACTTGCTGCCGCCGGTGACCAATGCGCAGCCGAGGCGGCGTGTGAGATGGCATGGGAGCAGCTCCATTCGGGCCCCTGGCACTCCGTACTCCCCGTTTGGCGGGATGCATACTCCATGGCTTGCCTCTATGTCGCCAAGTTCTACTTCTCCAATGGGGAGTTCAGGGAAGCGCTTAGGGCCCTGGACATGGGCATCATCATGGGCGGCTCCTTGCTTAGGAAGGATTTAGACTCTGCCATCCAAGTTGTTTCGGCAGCCAAAGCAAGACAGCAGAATGGTGAAACTGCTGTTCGGGATGATGGTACCAGAAATTCTGGGTGTCGGAGGCTGCTTTGCCCAGAGGATTTTGACGAGTCCGAGGTAAGATTTTTTCTTCAAAATATTTGCTTTACCCTTTACTTGAATTGCATGTATTTATCTGTACCTGCATTTGGTTCTATGTGGTTTTGGTGTTGTGGGCGTTTTCTTTTTCATTTTTAGTATGGTTTGTAATGTCATGTGTTAAAATGTTCGATATTGTAAATTTTATGATTAGTTGATGTGTGCTATAAACAGTCTGATTCGTTTATTTATCCAATTACGGCTTTAATGATCCAAACAATCTAGATTGCAGTATAAATGTGTAATCTAATTGTTGCTGGAGGTTTTTTAATTGAACAGTGAAATGTGTTGCAATCAACTTGTTTCTATTGCTCTAGGTGGAGTGGTTGCTCTCCCCTGTTTGTTGTTTATGAAGATATTTGTTGGCTTGCTGATAAAGGGAGAATTTTTTTTTAAGGTTATGTGGTATTTAGTGACTCCTTTTATTGTTTTTCGTTTTTCCAATTTGAAGGTACTTCAGGTTTTACCAGTCAGGTCGTTGTCTTGTAAAATTGTGGCAAAGAGATCTGCCCTTTCGTTGGAGGGATTTCTCCGTGAATATTTCCTTTCGGGTTCTCCGGTCATAATTACTGATTGTATGGCTCACTGGCCAGCCAGGACAAAGTGGAATGACATGGAGTACCTTACAAGGGTTGCTGGTGATCGTACAATTCCAGTGGAGGTGATTAATCTTTCTGTTGTTATAGGACTTTTCATCAGAGTTTGATTTAGTCACCAAGAGTTCTACTTTATGCTGTTTTTTCTACAAAGAGTAGCTTACATTCTTTTTGTCAGCAGAGTAACTTATCTGTTATTCCTAAGGAAATTTTCAGTTAGTTATTATTAAGCATGTCCATGGTTTATACCTGCTCTAGTTAATTCTGAAATTTTCTATACCTAGCACTGAAAGAAAATGGGCAAATATTCTATCTTGAGATGCTAGATGGATATTGGGGAGGACAATGGCTTTGTATCCTAGTTTTTTGTCTTAGATTAATTAAGTTTGTCATCTCTTCTTCGTTTGAGATTATTGAATGGCCTGAAATTGTGAATGCCATCCTGCTTTGACTGGGATTCCTCGAATGGTTCCTCTAGAAAACAAGGAAAAACATTGTTAAGCATAATTCAGCAATAGATTCTCATTTCTTTGTCTACTCCTTTGAACCAAACTAGTGTTTATTGAATATTTATTAGGGCTGTATAAAGGGTTGAAAGAATTATTATAGGGCATTGATGTTAAGACTTTTGAAAGTGTGGCTTTCAAGTTTCAATGGTCGTTACTGGTCATCCATCCTTATTAAAATTGAACATGGTAACATAGCAGTGCTTTGTTAAAATCAACCTGTTTAAAGCCATTATTGGTGAAGATAACTCATTTTCTTCTTTATTGAAAAGACTTTATGTGTAGATGGTTACATAGTAATTTTTATAACCAAAATCAAGTGAAAGTTTGAAATGATTTGCTTCAGGTTGGGAAAAACTATTTATACCCTGAGTGGAAACAAGAACTTATTACATTTTCTCAGTTTCTTGAGAGGATCCTATCTAATGACTGTTCTTCTGCTGTTCGCACATATCTTGCACAACATCAATTGTTTGATCAGGTATATATGTTCCCTTCATTTATTCACAATTATAATGCATTGGATGATATAACTCTATAAGATATAATAGCTTGATGTTATATTAAAATGTCAGATAAATGAGCTAAGAGAGGACATTTGTATTCCTGACTATTGCTATGCTGGTGGTGGAGAGATGAGGTCTCTAAATGCATGGTTTGGTCCAGCTGGAACCGTAACACCATTGCATCATGATCCACACCATAATATACTTGCACAGGTATTGTAGAGATGGTAGGAATTTTTCTTATATATTGATAGATAGATAGATAGCATTGGTAGGACGATCGATTATTCATCAGTTAGTGTTGCCTTCACTTCTTTTTAATTGGCAATGGACTTTTCAGTCTCCACTTTATCCAAATGAACCCGCATCTGACCCTGTTGGAAACGTTAAATCTTTCATTTTTGTATTTGGGTTCTGAAATGAATGCTGAAGTGCACAATGAATTTTAGGTACCTATACATGTTGGACAGATTCCTTGTCAAATCAAGCAGCATTGCTGCTTTCTAGAGTTTTTCCTCTTTCTCTCCCAAGGCAGTCTTAAGTGATACAGGTTCAAACATTGGCACTGGAAATTATATCTGGTTAAAAGGAATTTTTGATATAAGAATAAAGAAGGACACAGAACAATCTCAAAATATTATTTCAGTTTAGGGAAATTATATTTAGCTTCTTTTTATTTTACTTTTTAATATTTTTTCAGGTTGTTGGCAAGAAGTATGTAAGACTATATGCTGCTTCATTATCTGAGGAGCTTTACCCTTACACCGAAACAATGCTTAAAAACTCCAGCCAGGTAGCTGTATGTTATTTCTTATGATGTGCTTGCTCTCTCTCATATACACAGAAACACTGCACACAATTAAGTATGTTTGCATAGAGACATCTGAATTGCCTACTAGGTATACTCTTTGAAACTACTCTATACTATTTCCAAAACTTGGTGAGTTTAGATGCGTGTTTTGGTGTCAGACTAATCACTTAGCTGGTCAAGACTTTGCAATATTTGTAGTTAGTTAAGTTGCTATAAAAAACTTGGCTGGTTTTAATGTTGCACAGACCTTTTCATTTTGTAGCTTCTAGTTCAACAATGTCGAATGTCAATGGTTTAAAGTTGTATGCCCTAACGGGTGTTTGTTCTTCTGTAAGACCAAGTTTGCTATAGGTCTCCTTCATACTTGTCCATTTGATTCAAGATGTCTTTATTTTCTTCTTTCTTCTGATACTGATTGAACAACACACTGCTTAAAGGTCAATCTAGACAACATAGATGAGGTAGAGTTCCCAAAGGTGAACGACATAGAATTCCTAGACTGTATTTTAGAGGAAGGAGAAATGCTTTACATCCCTCCAAAATGGTGGCACTATGTCCGATCCCTAACAAGAAGTTTTTCAGTCAGCTTCTGGTGGAGCAATTCTAGCAGTCCAACAGCATCCTGACTCGATAGCCTAATTCTTCCAATGTTCAATTCTTTTTTTGAAATAGAACATGGCATGACATCCAAGACTTGTGGCTGATAAATTCATACGCAGACAGAATGAGAACAGTGACAGCTTATGTATATATGGATTTGTCGTAGTATACTCGTAGGAAATCCTTAGAATGTAAGAACTAGACAATGTTGAGGTGTATTTTGATTTTAGAGATTGATGTAATCTGAGAATTGCTGTTTTATTTCTCAGAAGATATGAATCCCTTTATCTATGATCATAAGAGTCATTTGTCAAGTAACGCTTGCATAAACTCACCCTTCCTCATTAAATGATGAATAGGGGATTCATTAGTGGATTATTGTTATCTGGATTATTGTTATCTGGATCTTCTTAAATAATTCACTTATTTTTTTGGTTAAACCCCAATTTGGTCCCTGAATTATTGTATCGACCTTTTATTTGGTCCATAAACTAAAAAAATCCCTGATTTTGGGCCTTAAACTATTGTACAGACTCTCAATTTAGTCCATGTTGTTTACCAATTTACCTTAAGTTGGTCTTTCCGTACAAAAAAAACTGACATGTCCATTATTTAACCATGAAAAACAGTTATTTAACGATGAAAAACAATAATTTAACCGTCAAATGTCACATTAATAACAAAACATGTCAGTTGGTTTTTGTACAGAAAGACCAACTTGGGGTAAATTGATAAACAGTAAATATCAAATCGGTCCGTACAATAGTTTAGGGATCAAATCAGGAATTTTTTTAATTTATGAACCAAATCGAAAGTTTATATAATAGTTTAGGGATCAAATTAGGGATTTAACCCTTTTTTTTTATGACTAAAGAAAATTGAGGGTATTCGGGGAGGGGGAATAGGGAACAAGGGAATTTAAATCCTAGTGGCATGGTTAGACATTGGAGCACCCATGGGCAATTTGCATTTTGTAATGCTTCAATCCCTGGTGGGAATAAGTGTGCATATTGTGAGTAGTATGTAAGTGTGAAAATTATCTTGAAAAATTATTAAATTAATGACGAGAGTGGGTTGGGGTTCCTCAAATAATAAAATGAGATAAGAATAGTCCAAGCTTGGCTGTTCAATGAGATAATGGGTAGCTGAAGCCGAAAATGGTAGGTAAAAAGTTTCTAATGCTTTGCTAACAATCCCAACATGTTCTTTATGGACATAGAAATGTCTTTATTATTACGTTATATTCCACGCTCAGTTGATTGAGATTGCTGAGGCACAGAACAAGGGGCCTCTCTTTTTAGTCAAAAGAAAAAAGAAACTTCTTCTGGCTTTTGGCTACACCAACCTCCAGGCACCAGCAACCCCCCAAAATCAACGCCGCACATGTTACTCAAGACCAATATAAAAGAAGACTCTGACTTACGTCTTCG